TATATATATATATATATATATATATATATAGTTCAGTACAAAAACGTACGGATCGACGGACCTCTCAGCTTTCTGTTCTGGTGTTAAGAACTGAAACCGTTCGAAGGTTTCGCTGAGTTACTCCGCACATAACTTTTGACCTTGGTCATAAGTGTAAGTGGACCACTAGGGTCTTTTGTTGGCCTGAACCTCACGGTGGTTGTAGTCACATGCTTCGGTTTTCCCATAGCATGCCGGCATACTACAACCTAACGGTCTTCCGATTCCAGATTGATGTTCGCCTATAACACGATATCGAGACACCCACGCTTCCAAGGAATCCAGTTCCCAGCAAGTTCATTGTGACCGGATACTTTGGGTGGTGCAGATGGTGTGATCGTTAGCGGACTTATTTTACATGATGAAATCGTACATAGGTTTTTTTGTTTGACACTATTTCGTGACCGCTGAAAACGGTCAGGAAACTCTCACTTTAATGAAAATAATCACGGCATTTTTTGGTGTACAAGTAGTCTTCTTGGACGTCGTTCCGAATCTTGCTTTGGCTGCTCTATTTCGCCTGATTTTGGTTGTTTTCGCCCCTGACTGGCCCGTTGATGGCTTGTGTCTGGCGATCGTTTTTTTGTTTGCGGTGCTCCGCTGGTTTAGCTGCATTGCTGATCAGAACCAATGAAGCCTACTCACTTGATGACATTGGCTTGCTTTGACTGTGCTCTGTGAAATAGTGAGATGGTTGGTCAGCAAGCTTTGAACCGGATTCGAAAATTGATTGGATGATCTTGTTGATTTGAAACTTGTTGCAGATTCTACACTACCTCCTTCCTCAACACCTAGCTTGTCCTTCTTGTAAGATTGCAGCACTACCCAATCCAGTTACCACGCGGCAGCGCGCATCTAAGCAAGCCCTCAGAGATTTATTTCCCTGTGAGGCTTTCGACGAAAATGTACCAACATTGGACGGATAACGGTGGATTGTCTGTTAGAGTCCTCTCAGGGGATACGCGTAATATACTAGTTATAAGTTTTCTAAAAACTCTTTGACAGCCCACGAGCAGTTTCGCCCTTCTTGGAACTCATCAGGTAGGTGCGGTCCCCGAGTTTCCGTCAACCTTATGTTCTACTTGAAACAGCACATTCGGTTGAGAAGAACATCATATAGAAGAGATTCGGCTGGTTTCCAGGTAAGTCACCAAACCAAATGGTATGTAAATGAGTGTATAAGTACCCTCAGAGGACTTCCATAATCAAACCATTTTGCTAAGCTTCTGTGGACAAAAACCGGCCGTTTTTCTGTGAATCCAACGGCATAGCCATGATCAGATGCCCCGTGATTCACCTCCAGAGAACCAAAAGCGAAGCAGTCTGTGGATCGGTCCATTCAAACCCGAAGGTTTGAGACAGGATGCAATAAAGAGCGCAGATCTGAAGCTAACTTCATGTATTGCCGACAGACTGATTACCTAATAAGGTAAGGGCATCCAACATCTTGGAACGCAGAACGTACACATTGGATGCATTAGTGGTACATACCACTGGCAAGTCAAACCAAGGTAGCCGATTAAAGCGAAATCTTTTCAGCCTGTTCTGAAGATATACAAATATACACTCTAGCACCATCAAAGGTATTGCACAATAAAACCAGTTTTTGGGCGGGTGTAGAGCGGTACACCCTTTAATCTAAGGTGCTTACTTTCACCTGCCTTCGACGTTCACATTTTCGGTACAGCATTACAGTGTCAGAAACCAGATCCTGTTTTGGTGATGTAACGAGAGGTAGCATTGATGGTGCTAGAGGGAATGCCTGACAAAATGTTTGAAAGCCTTCAGATACATACCTGTCACCTAGTTAGTGAGCACAGACACTGAGGGACGGTATTCGTTTGGGTTATCACATTGCAAAAATCCACACAGCTTCTTGTTATATGCGAAATATCCGACACATTTGGGTATAGCACACAAAGTTCAACAAAGACAATAATAACCATCAACTTCATTATGACCATAATACAGCACTGATACATAATGTCACACAGTCCTGAGGCAAACGGCTATGGTAAAGATCAGAAGGAAAAGGGACTGCTAGTGACTTAGTCCAATAAGTCCTATATCCCTAGGAAAGAAGATCGACTATAAGATTCTTTCAACTTTGATCAGCATAGGAGCCAAGTAAGACATCATCAGCGGGCTCGAAACAGCATTACACATAAATAAAGGCGCTGTGAAAGTACTTGGAAGAATAACACACGGGCTTTGCACGTAGTCGGAAACTGGCTTTGGTTGCATAAGCAACACCTCAATAGGCCTAGTAACCCAAAATCGACAGTGTTAGTTGTCCTAAAGGATATGGCCCGTTGAAATCGGAGTCGGCACTATGCTCGCTGCCTCGCAGATTCAGTCTAATTTACCGTAAGCATTGTTGAAGGGATAGGGCTGGACCCCCCAGGGCTGGTTAGAGTACTGGCCTTGGTTAGGCTCCACATGTTTGACGCGCTAAGAGATGGTTAGAGTACTGGCCTTGGTTAGGCTCCTGCTCAGAAGTGATTTAGCTGAAGGAATTGTATGGTCATTTGGGTAGATTAGTTAGACCACGATGAGCTGAGTATGCACTTTTAAGAAAAAAACGGAGCCTATCCCAGGGTCGTTCATTGTCACTCCGTTGACTCTAAGTCCGCTTGTGACCCCCTAAGTTGACGAATTCTCCTAAAGGAATGCTCGACGGAAAATACACTAACTTTGTCAAGGCAGATGGAATGCCCCGGAAAGATACTGGGGGGTCAATCAACTGCTATGCCGTAGCATAAAATGGCATTTTAAGGACAACATTAAACTACTTTTTGTTCTCCTTTAACTAACTAATGTGGAGAGAAAGGATTTGCCCTTGCATAACATATAAATATCATCAGCGTTTCTCAAGGTTACCTGGTGATTGATTGCGAGTCTTGCACCATGCTGTGCGACCGGGCCTTCTTGCACATTGATGTTTCATACGTTGCCGTCCTGGTGATATGCCCCCTCCAATAGTATCCGCCCATACAGAGCTCTGATCCACGTTTTGATAAATAGTTCTTTCCGTAACAAATAGGACAAAGGTTAACTCTGGTCGGATTGGCGGGATGAGTGGATTTTGAAGGGACGAAACACCATAGAGTCATTTTTGAACTGATGTGCTCGGGTTATCAGATATATGAACAAATGCACTATCAGATGTTTACGCGCTTTTAGCTGGAAGGGTTGTGGTGGATAAATCTCTACCGTATGTGGGGCTCCTTGAGTATCTTGAACTCACCATGACTACCATGTAAGTTCATCTCCAACACAACTAGAAATTCTGTAGTAGAACACGTGGTCAAAGCTACATTTGAAATGGGTTTATTTATATGGCTCCAAACATAGTTAACGCAAACTGGAATTTTCCATCACAGCAAGGCTGATGTAAACCTTACACAAAGCGTGCATATAGACCTGCAAAATACTGACATGAGTGCCTCCCTTACACCTCCCAACTCTTCGGAGGAACTGTGTAAGCAAAATGTCCAGTTCACATTTCTTCGAAATCTGGAAGTAGCAAGTAGTTCAGTTACGTGGTCAGTACGCCATGAGGTGAAATACTATATATATATATATAGTTTTTAACAGTTCAAGTAGCATACACCTGTTTCACAGTTCAGGCGCGCAAAATCGCGTTTGGGGAAGTACTAGCGAAATATGCAAGGCTGACTCATAAACCTATCCATTCGTCCATTACTAACAACATTTCACTCGCGGTTTGACCACGTGAAACCAGCAGGAAACTGCTTTGATAACAGGCAATTTGTTGCGGCCTGTGGTTAAATGATAATGCCCAACCAGAAGTGGCGCGATGAACAGCGCAGATAAAAGAGTGTGGATTTTGTCGGAATGAGTCACATGTATGCTGGAAGATGCTGTGTAGAATAACGCTAAAAGAACCAATTTAAAGTAAAAAGAAAAAGAGCTTCACGTCCTAGAAGAATTCACATGGAGAGGAAAAAACCAATCCATTGTGGGTCAAACTGGTGTTCGAGAAAAAGCCGAAATATGCATTTTATACGCCACAAAACATCCGATCACTCTGTATCACAAAAGGCTGAATGAGACGAACGGCGGACTGACTGCCGCTGTTTGCACACATGCATTGCGTAGTCGGAGTGAACGAATGTTGCATCACATAACACTGAAGGCATTAGGGACAGTGGCAGCTCGGCTGTTGAACTGTTCGACCAAAACAAAGGTAGAAAAATGGCGAAAGAACAGAGGAACACACAAAAAATTACAGTCTCGTTGAGAGCAGTCAGTACAGAGAAGACAGGAACTCGACGTGCACAAGGAAGCGATTCATTGATTGGAGAGAAATGGTGATTAGGGTTTCTGTTGTCAGTACTATCCACTTTTGTGTACAGCACACATATGCTGCAGTTCGACAAAAAAGAAGACCATTTACATTGGAAACCGTGCTACTCAAAGTGTCCTCGCATGAGAAAACACAAATTAGACGCGTTGTACAGATACTTTTGCGAAAACTAGCTTGCGATTACATTACTGGTAGTAGCCGATACGGTAGGGTAAAATTTTGATCACCTTAAACAAACGCATATCAAACACGGAAATTAGGCATCGGGATACGTGTCTGCTGTCTCACTCCTGAAGTGCAGGACCCATAAGCTTGTAGATATTTCGGCAGACTCTGGGAACAAACGACTGATGTTCCGAAAAAGAATGACAGTGTGAAACAAAATACAAACCAACAGTATGGTGAAGTTTGGAATCAAGCAAATTCACTTCACGAAACCGCTGGTGAGTGGCAAAGGGAAGCTGCATTCGGATATGAACACGAACGATACGCAAAACAAACACATTATGCTGTATTCATTCGCGTTTCCAACGGATCCCAATCTTTTCGGAACTAGCCGCGAAAGTTCGAACAGAAGGGACATAGCGGTTGTTAATGAACAAACACTAATCCATTGCAGTACACTGAAGTCGCTCGGCCAAAAAGCATAAAACGAAAGTGATTGTTTTGTTGCATGATACTTGTGGGTCTTGTCGGAAGGTAAACTAATAAAGTCCACAATTTCGCAGGTTATTGGCGATTATCACATCTGTCACAGCATCGAATACAAACTGGATATTGTTTGTGTCAGTTGCACATGTTTGGTGACAGTAGATCTCCTTGTTAGGGGAACGGTTCTTTGCCTCAAACGAAGCTTGGATGTATATTGCTGCCTCTTCGTACGTCTGTTTGCCTGACAAAACAGAAAATAGAGGAAGAGGGGCCAATATGATGAACTACAGATCTAACATTTGGAGAAGTCCGTTGATGGGATAAAAGAATGAGTCTCCGGCAATAAAATGATCGGTGGTGTATTGGGCCAAACGTACAGTTCGTAACAGAATCACTGCTATGTCATTAGTAAAAGTCAACACCAGAGAGGGCGATGCCCTCTGCCTTCATACGTGATCTGCTGCAGTAATGGTACGTATACCTTTTCAAAAACACAAATGCCTGTAGTTTCAAAAAACAACCGTAACCCTGTTTAATACTCACTTCTAATCCACTTTGCTGGACATCTCGAAATTGTGGATATTTTGTAGTATATATTATTATATTGTATAGTATATTGTATCAGTACTGTCATTATGTCATCATCGTTACTGTATTATATGCTATATACCTTACGTCACGAATACTTTCTGAGACACCGGTCGGGCAACTACTAGGGTCCCGTGACTTTATGCAGCTTGGAGATATAGTTCACCAAGTTCCACGACCGAAACGTCACAATGTATCTGCTGCTTATTTGAGCATCTCCGTAAGTAGAAAATTGTTTCTCATCGACCTTGACTTGCTTTGAGTCCTATTCGTCTGACTCGCGAGCACAATCAACCAGCGAACACTGTGTTTATTACACTGAAGTGCAACCGGCTGGGTCAATGAGTACCACTTGTGCTCAGTAAAACTCATGACCTATACTCGATTGGATCAGTGAACGCAACAGGATGCTTCATCAATTCGGTGGGCAACAAATCAAAAAGAGTTGTTCGGTGAAAACAGACATTCCCCGGGCTGAATCTCTAAGCACTTGCATTCGTTCTTTCCTCCCATATGACGTCAGATTGTTTATAACTAACTTGAGGAGGCAAACAGTATTCCTTTTAATGGGGTATCTCTTCTACAACAACCTTGTGAGAATTGCAGCCTCAAATGTCTGGAGAAGTCCCAAGCGTATTTTGCATAGTTAGACACATTGTCAACAAGAAAGATTGCATATGCTTACCATTGTTCGGTGTAATGTAACAATGGTGCTACTTCTAGCAAACAGATTGGGGGGTGTAAAACAAGCCAAAAATCGATTTCAAGGGGGCACTTTTGTATGTCGGCTTTGAGAGCACATAAAAAGCACGGTACTCAAATTTAGTGTCCACTCTCACTTCATAGATATCTGTTTGACTGTGATTTTAAATTTGATCGCCTACTCATGGCTCTTTTCCAAAAGCAAACGGTATGGGTTTGGAAACGTCTTGTCTGACTTCAGGCGGCACATTCGTACACTATTGGTCTCACCAGACGACGTGTGAGCGAATGCACGACGCCATCGAAAAATTTACAGTCGACACGATCAAATGCGCTGATAGCTTGTTCGTGCTCGGTGATAGTCGAAAATGAAGATGGCCTATGCTTTTCTCCCTAGAAGAACCACAGTAAGTCCCGGTGTTTCGGTCATACATATCCTGGAGTAATGTTCACTCCTACAGAGGATTATTGCAGAGTGATAAGTTTTGTAGGTTTTCGTCAATGTGTTCCGTGAGTGATCGTTTGACCCGAGAAAGCAGTCACTAGGAGGCAGATAAAGTGCCACGAACATACATTGAGGAAGAATTCTGATGCAAACTATGAAGTATAATGCTTTTCTTTAACGTTATTTCATGACACAGTGACAACTCCTCACAAGACATAATTCTCCTGAGAGCTGCACATGTCTTCAGTCATTTAAGTCAACTGACTCAAATATCGATTTTCCTTACCGATGAGTAATGGCACGTTCCAACAAATTGATCAGACCCTATTCACGTGACTGCCTCCTTAGGATTGAAGACAGATTATACTGGAGTTCTCTTGCCAGCTTTTGGGAAATTAGTACTGAACTTCCAGTTCGAGTCACACGCAGTCATCGCTTTCTACCGTGTTCTCAAAAGACAGTTGCTTTAAACAAGATGTTCTGTTTGAATCTTGGATGCCCCTATAAGTGAGGGAATTTTTAATGAAATAACGTTAGTGTAATCACTGCGAGATATCTCGTAATAGTGGTCTTGCTGTACGGAAGCTGGATAAATGTTACCGATGTTTCGCTTTCGCATCTTTTGGTTCGGGGAAACGGAACCTTACCGCCTAGAAAATGACACCCACACAACTTCTATGCACGTAGTGATGAACTTACTTTTTATTAGGGGATGCAACAGTATAGCATGTTGAATAATGTCGTATTCTAAGCTTGCTTACTATCTTTTCGACTGTAACCGAAATAAGTCACGGAATAAATACAAGTCGCTTCTCGAACAAAGTGGCCTTTCGTTTAAACATAAACATGAATGTAAGTACTCCAAAAAGACTACGTTTGCATATCCCACCTGGATATTCCGGGAAGCATATGGTCAGCGGAGACCGTTTGATTTTCTCTTCAAACAGATCCTTCTTGTTCAAGAAAAGAATGATGCTGGTGTCTGTGAACCACTTGTTGTTACAAATAGAGTCGAACAGTTTCAAGGACTCTTGCATGCGGTTCTGTATTGACAGAAAGAGGTAAACTGCATTAGTTCTTTCAGTGAGGCCCATAGGTTAAGAGGATTTGACTTTAAGGTTGGTAACCTTCAAAATAAGCGTACGACCATGAAAAACCAATCAACTGAAAAGTTTCACATATTAACTTTCATTCATCTATCTGACGTAGAAAATGCAACCACTAACAAATATATTTATCAGTCTAATGCCCCGCAGAAGAGTTATAATACGGGAAACGCCTGAGTCAGAGGAGAGTAGTGTTTTGGACAAGAGTTCCTGAACGAAACATCCCGGAAATCCGAAAGAGAACTCAGTTTCTTAGCTGCATCACGTAAGCTCGTGGCAGTCGGTAGGTCACCTATTGATCACTTTGTCTGGACATTTGATAACTGAAATGCACTCGTTTTTAGTACAATTATTCTAGTCCGTAAAAAGGATATTCTGCACCAGTTTAAGGTCAACAATAACTTTCCCATTATTGCAACGCTCATTTGCATATTATCTACAGTGGCCAATCACAACGCCCTCGTTTATTTTCCGAGTGCCGATAGCTGACTGTGTCTCATCACAAGGTCTGGGCAAAGAATTTATCCTCTCGCCTAATGTGGAACTTTTGCTTGAAAGCAAGGTCATACTGAGAAAAAAACAGACTATTGACCACCGATTGTTGATATACACTAACTCAATAAGGCTCAGGTTCGCTAAGTACAAATGCTTACTAACCAACTGACTACAGAGGAAAAAACAGGAAAGCAACTGTGCACGGCGCTAACTGATGGTTAACTCTGGAGGAGGATAGGAGCTGTGCGGAAATTCATGTATTCTGATGAACCGCCGGTATCGCAACCAAGAAGAAACTGATTGCGTGGAGCATAGTAAACCCCCTGGGTAGCCTTCAGAAAACAGAAGCGAATTTTTACACGTCGAAATTTCAGCATTCGTTACGCAAATGAATTGCGGGACTACTAAGACACCAATCGGTTCGGAATAAGCCAGTCGGCTCTCATGTTTGACTGCGCCAAACCTCTTGAAGGGATCGGGTGTAAATAGGAATGGGGTGAGAGCAAGGTGACCGCAATTACTGTAAATCTGCTGTTACGAGTGAATGGTCCTGGTGGTTACAGACGCAACATGAGGGGATCGGTCATTATGATGGGCTTGCAAAAGGTGATTGAGTTGGCCACGCCTATGCCGATGTAATGGTATGTATATGGATTTATATGTATGTATATGAATATGCATGCGATTGGGATGAAAAAATAGTAATACAATGGCCGACCTACTTACCGTGGTCTCATCTTCATGTAGAACTTGGTCATACTCGCTCATAGCAACACAAAATATGATGGCTGTCACATCTTCAAAACAGTGGATCCACTTTTTCCGTTCTGACCGCTGACCGCCCACATCAAACAACCTACAAAGGAGTATGAAACCGCGCTACCATAACGATACGGATTAAAACGTAAGAAACTGCGCCAGTCCCCTAGCTGAATCGCCGGTATCATTATTCAAATGGAATTTATGTGGTACTGAAAACAAGCTTATCTTGAATCAAACGGAAAATCCGCCCACAATTTAGATGGCTGCATTATCACTTTGATGGTCATTCGGCTGGACGATAATAGCATGGTAGTGGGTGCTCGGTATCTGGATTTTCATTAGATTCCCTTCATTTGCCGTTGGGTTCGCGCCATTTGACGAAGCGTTTTTCCAAACGCTATAGAAGTGTGATGGGTCTAGATGCACAGTATCACATATAAAAACAGTTTGCATTCTGTGTCTGGACGAGGATGGATAGCCAAGAATGAATCTTAGATAGTCGTGGAACTAAGTACACTCTGGGGAGTATTCTGATAGTTACGTTAGTGTATGTAGGCAAACCTATGGCGTAATACTACCTACTTTACTTATTTCTGGTCACCAGGCACCTTTCTCAAACAGTAACTGAAGAGGAAACAGCGCTTGGATAAGCAAGACCTTTTGTTTCGTAGATAACTCCCCCCTCTTGGAGGATATACAACAAAATTTTAGCGTGAATTTCACGGTCAGTTGTTCCTGAAGTCATTCAGTAATCCAGTATCATTGACACCGAAACGCTCAGAATTTTTCTAGTGCACTGAATACTACAACTGGTTCGCAAGTAACTGTACCCATGACAAAACGGGATGCATATTCAGGACACAGCAAATTGGTTTATCCCGAATGCCATTCAGATAATCCTGAACAGGTCATCAAAAAATAAAATCGTTGTGTTTTCTATAGAGGAGAATGTCGGTAGCTCAGGTAGCGTAGATGGTCGTATGCCAAATTTGGCATACGGAGACACGCGACACGGAAGAGAATTTCTGGAGGCATAGTACTCTACGGCAGGTTCAGTCAACCGGTGCATCGAACTGGATCCAATTTACGCACCTCTACGTGTGAGAGATCAACATCGCCACCGAAACACCCAAGGAGGACCGAATAATGGATTAACAAACGAAGAAACAAGGAACTCCTCGGAGTTAAATCAATAAAGGTCACAACGGAACTCGGAAGGACAAAGGTCACTCCAACACCGATCAGACTACGACGGCGAGGGATGACAAGTTCAAAGGTCACGTGAGCATCGGCGAATGAGGACACGGGATAAAAGAACAACCAGTGGAACCGCCCGACAGAATAACTAATCGCGGTCAAAGGTCATCCCCGGCTACCAGCACGTATATCAACACACACGTAACACTACTGAACGCACAAACACTAACCCACCGCTACACATAGCTACGCACCGATGATGTCACCTCGATTAGTGATGAAACGTTTGCAGCCAAATTGCCAAGCTCAGCGAACAAGCCAACGAACAAAATCGTTGTGTGCATGTCCATAATGAAAATAAGAGTAACCTTGACAGTGGCCACATATTGAGCAGTTTTTCTCCTTTGTCGATCACACCAAGACCGGTCAGTATATGGACAAATACACCCTTTTGCACATCAATTTCGTTTTGATGGGAGACTCACCTGGAACCCAGCTGAATCACTCGTTTATGGTGCTTTTAAGGCTGACGGAAACTCGGGGACTGCACCTACCTGATGAACTGACAAAGAGTTTTCACAACTTTACGAAAAGCTTATTACGGTCAGTTTATCCTTCATTGGCGCAAAAGATGGCTGAATAGCGCATCAACCAATGACACACAAGTACATTTGCAGAAGTCAGAGATTACGTTCCCTTCCAAGATAATTTGTGATGTGGACGGTTGATGTTCACGGAATGACAACTACCTTTCCTGTCCAGCTTAGTTTGAGCAACAAAAACAATCAGGCATGACACTCTTACTTGAAGTTCATATTCTTAAACTGGAAATGTACTTCCACTATGCCGGTTGTTTTGATACGAGTTCGGAGAATATCCTGCTCGGTCGGCATGTAGTCCTTTGCTCCCAAGCGATCCAAGTCATCCAGGAAACTACGGAGTTCAACAGAACGGTCAGATCGTTAGAGGCATGAGACTAATCAGCAGAAAATCAGTGTGACATTTGAGTATGATCTATCTAAACTAGGCCTTGTCAGCCTTTGGGCTGAGTTGTGTTGTGATCTACAGGAAAACAGTTCTAATAGAATCGTCCCATCTACGATGAACCACAACGAGTTCCAAGGAACCCATCCAGCAGGGATCAGCTTTGATCGCTCGTTTCAAGTGTCGTTTTCAACAAAAATCGTATTGGAACTTGAATTAACCTTCGAATGAATCACAGGTTTTATGTAGTACTTGGTACTGTAATACACGAGAATCCAATGCAAAAGAGTGGTATCACGGCTTTTATTGCGCGAGCAAATTGCGTCTGGACGACAGGTGGAATGGTCATTACGGGAAGTGAAAAGTGAGCAAGAGTACTTTACAAAACATATTATACATGTTAGGTGGCATCCGATAGTTATTTGCTTACAAACAGCAGCTGGACGTCTGTACAAAATTACAATAGCACAAACTTCTGGTGAACCTGCCGGAATAAGATCGGAAGGCAGACTCGTAGAGCACTTTGGCCGCCATCAACTGACCCAAGCAAGATGGAGCTACAATTAACAATAGGACCGCGTCAACCAATGAGCTGATGTGCCGTTACTCGATTCCTTTACATTTCATTAAAATATGGTACCTTTCCGTCACATTATTACGCAATCAGATTCACCTAGGATTTCCAAAGATGGACATTTCCGGCGTTATGGATACAAAAATCAATAATGGTGTATTTGTGGCATTGTTCCACTGTTAGGAATCAGACCGGTCTTATCTCAAGCTACCAGTCGAAACTCCAGCAGTAAGCCGCGACGGCACCGGCGTCGCCCAAATCCAACTTCTCTCACGCAGATAAGCCTACAGGTTGAGCTGCTGGATGGTAATACGTACGTTGCGAGTCGCCTACGAATGTCAGACTATCAAGGCACACTGATTCCGGAAACGTTCTACACTTAAATGCCAGCCTTTTTCCAGATATCTGTGTCCAGCGCCAGGTTGTCCCATTGTCTGAACTGTAAGTTAATGCCTGAAATTACTTGCAGTTTATGTCTAGGTTGTAGCTTTGTTCTTCCTCGGCCTCACAGACCATTATTCAGCTGCCCATTTGACAGCTGTTTGTTTCAAACTGCCCAACTTGCACCAATGGTTGTGGATTAAAAGCCTTCAACTGCGCATATGTTTTGTAATCTAAGAAGATTGGGTTGTTGGGGTCCGATCCGACAAATAAGCATAGTATCTTAGGTAAACTGCAGATGAAACTGATCGAGGATTCGGATAACAGCATGAAACCGTAGGATGTACGATAACATGGTATACCGCGATTTTTGTGTGGATGCTCTGAATGTGTCCCTTGTCGATTATGTGGTCGGTGGTTATAGTGCTGTTCAGATGGCAAAATTGTGAGCAGTAAGGTTTCCTATCAACATTCATCTACAAGTTTGCCAGATTCGGATTACCAATGGGCACACTGTTCACTATTCATATATCTCCGTTCCCTAAATCAATGTTCAGTTACATCTTGTGAATGTGGTATGAGTGCGAAAAGCAACCAAGCTGACGAGGAGCGTGCTCGTGAGATCGCTACTAACCTTAAAATTTCGGATTAGACTTCTACGCATATTCCTCCCGTCACTTGCAGGTCCAGGTATTGCAGCCTATCTTGGCACATTTGGCCCGAGAATAGTTTTTTTCAAAATACTCTATAAAGGCTAATCCTATGGTTTATCTTGTAGCAAAACGGAAGTGCTAATGCTTTGAAAATGCAAGTCGCTGCCTCAGGAATCGCTATAGCAAACAGATCGAAACTTCGTATCTTCTTTCGTGACGACATTCTGGGTTTGGTAGGGCTTCGAAACCTGCTTGGGGGGGCTGCAGGCCAATTCTTTACATTCTTCTTCATTCAGAAACTTACGTGATAACAACCCTTTCATGATTCAACGAAAGAAGTCAACAGTTCGTCTAGCTTCAGCAGCCAAATTTGGGCGTCGGTTATTTCCAAAGATTATTAATCGTTCCTCGTAGTTTGCAAACTGCATTGAAAGTCTAAGTTAACTGAAGTATGCTACAGTCCAAATAATAATCTTCTATAGAAGTGTAATCGACAATGTTAGTCGACTTCTGCCGGTGCTGTGAGGGATGCTGAAAGTTCGTTTTCACTTTCTGACTCTAGACGAAAGTCGTAAGTAGCTATCCATCACTCAGTTGGACAGCTTGTATCGATTTTGTCGGCTATGGTTGTCCGTGTGCGCTCATCACAAAGTAAACACTTCGTTAGTTTTAACCCCGCAAAGGGGCTGCACAATGGATTTTTGATGCCTGATTTGGTCGAACCGGTTTGCCAATTCGACCCAGTAACGGAAAGACTGAACTCATCAGTTTCCATTAGTCGGCGCCCTTTACAGATGTGGGGGAGAGGCGATGTTGTTACACGTCATTACCATCAATCATCAAAGAAAGGAACATCAGTGTTGACAGTGATGCTTCACAGACGTAACACAGATGACTGGGATTGGCCAGAAGACAAGTAAGGCGAGGGACCATATAATTATGACGCATTTGTCACTCTGTTAACTGGTTAGACTAATTTAGGTGTTTTCAGACTCACCGGAATGAATTGATGTGATTACGGTCTATGAGAACCATGAAATATAACACCGTCTTAATAAATCATACCAAGTTCCGAACAGGCGATCAGTGTGAACACCCAAACAAAACAATGAGAGTTAGTTCACATCTGATACTAGCACCCATTGTTTGCTTTAGGCGATGCCCCGTTGGTGTATGTGACCGTGAACCTAACTGCCCTAACAGGAAAACGGATCACACCCACGTAGTTGTTATTTGGTTGTTCTGTTGGCAACGAAAACAGAACAAAACAGAAGTTGAAAATTTGATCAAAGCCGAGGTCACTGGTTTAAAAGTCACACGGTAGGTTGAGATTTTGCTGCAGCATATGCACATTGTCAAAGTTGACCTGACGGTCTTCCGCTAAGGCATGGGTTGCAATTGCTGAGTCAAGCCCCGATTTGTTTAACTCGTCCGCCTTTGTTGAGGCGGCCCGAGGATGTCGTTTATGTTCATTGCATCCTATCTCTAATTGTTTGCTAGTTTGCCAATGTAAACAAGGTCATGATCGGTAACACCAATCTTGCAGACATTATTGGTATATTCATCGGGATAAGTGGGTCTTTCCTGAGAACTAGTTATCAGTTTTCGTGTTATCCGGTTGGAATGTGGTGCGGATGTTAAACCCGGAGAGTGCACAACGCCTGCTTCCAGCTATGTGCTCCCGGTACGGAACCCGCACTGTGTCATTTGGTTCAGCACTCGGTCTGGCTGCGGTGTCTGGGTGGCTGAAAAGATGTGCGGTGAAACTGAGACCACTGTTCTTCAGTGTTTGGTTAATATGGATACACTTATTTTCAGGAAAGGGTGCATCACTACATAACTTATTCGCTCGTTGAGCCAGCATGTGAATTATCGCTCTCTTCATACTCAACGGATGGACGGAGTTAAAGTTTATGTAGCACTCTGGTTTGGTTTGCGGTGAACCGTGGTGAACTGTGATCAGGATTCGAACAGAATTTACAGTTAAGGAAAGCAATCGTTCTGTTAGGTGTCTCGGGTTTTACAGTGGAGCAAACGGAGTTACGCAAGGTGTTGGGATATGAGACGAGCTGATTTACCTAGAATGTCTTCATGAAATGTGTAATTTTATCCTTGATAGAGGCCACTCTCGATGGTCCAAACGACGTACAGTTTCATTTAGTATATCTGCAGTATAGTCAACATCATCTTCACTAAAGTTGAAACAACTGAAAAACGTACGGGTTTTTCCTCCGTATGAAACTTTTTCCTCGTCATTCTACAGCGATGTACCGACCTAGATGGGGATGACCATAGAACTGAACTTAATGAGTTTCATAATGAGCTGTACACCGCGACGTCCAGTGCATTTTGCGGTCACGTGTTCATATCAAAGTTGTTGTGTGACTCGACCTAAAATTTTCACATTGTCGCGGTCATAAGATTTGAGTGCTTAAATGACCCCGCGAGCTAAATTGGCTGGATTTCAGTTTCTTAGGTTCAACTAAGCCGGGATGGCCAACGAGGATTAGTTTGACGGAGAAAAGCGAGACCCGGTACGGTGAGGAATAGTATTACGAGTATGTCCGGGAATAAATCCGTAAGGTTAGCTGCGATATGAATCTGAACACAGTAGTGTTTCCGCAATCACTTCCATACTTAAGGAAGCAGTGGTGCTTTCTCCACCCACCAACCCTCAAGAATGGCGAATAGGCTAAGGGTGGTCCGCACACTACGATAGCCCAGCGGTTGAGTGTGACAGCCAGAAAATTGTCCAATCCGTTCAAAAAATGAACCTTGCCCTGGGCCTGACGTTGCCCTAAATGCACCTAATGTGCTGAGCAGAATGAAGAGCCAATAATCTGCATTCCTGAACCCTTGGGCCAGGCCAACTCCCTGCAGTCAAGCGGTTCAGACTATTGGATCACTGACTCTGAGAATGGTCCTTCAAGATAACTCTAACAGCATTTGGCAAGCTGTTCATCTTCTGAGCCAGCTACAGGAAAATTCCCCAAACAAAATGCTTCGTCCTCCGACTACCTTGTGCATCATGCTTTTGAGCCAAAGGCTCAGGGTGAAGTAGCACAACCAAACACACTCCATCGGCCTGAGTAAACAGGAAGCATCATTCGCTCTACATTCGTCGACGCTTCTCCACATGTCCCTCAACTAATTCGTCCTGATTCATTTAGACATGAACCAATTAGCCGTCGCTCTGTATTGAAGCTTCTCCCCGATGAAATAAGGTGAAATAAAAACTCAATAAATTCGGAGGATTTGTTTCACATCGCGGCTTTCAATGTCCCTGCTGTGTCGATCAGGAAGCAGGTCTTTCTTGCTCAGAACTTATTATTTTCTGATCGATGAACTCGTAACAGGACCCCAGTTCACCTCAAGGCTCTCGGAGGAACCCAGATTTCTCTCACTTTACTCTTCGGGTGTCTGGCAATCCCGATGCAAATAATCGTGTTATCGACAGCGTGGGAGTTGTGTCTAGCCCCACGGACAAGGGCATTTACTGGACTGGATTCCAGCCGATAAGTCATATATTGAGGCGTTTCATAACGAGATAAACGTCCAAGGTACCCTGTTATGGTTCAAATATAATTTCTGAAACGCGTGTTTTCCATCAACCAGTTCTCTGAGACACGAAGTTCTGTCAGGAAAAGTAAATGATAGCGGGAGAACGCGTTGTTCAGATTTCCAGTATACTGTTTGCGATCTAGCAAGTGACGGAAAGGTAGAGAAAAGGGTTCGTCCACAAATATCAAGTGTAAGCTTGATATTTCGAAATCGTGTTTTGGACAATAATCACATTGGTGCGCACAAAATGCACTGCTAAGCCTGGTATCGTATTGTTCCCAATTTTTAGGCGACACCATATCTGTATTCTAAACCAAATGTAATCTGTCATGTTTCCGTATTTGCTGGGTGACCTAGATACGTATAATCATGTTATTCGGAAGGCGAAGCTATCTGTAATCGAACCGATCTCAACCCACCATGTGAAGCTTATGGCATCAGACCGCGACCAAAAATCTCTACAGCGTTGCACCAGCAACGACTGCTCCGTTTGATTGACGAAGACCGAAACTACGACACGAAGGTAAGACTCGAGCGAGTTTAAAGAACATTAATTTTGAATCAATAGGAAAAGATTTAGAACTGATTGAGAAGTCATCGTTTAAGAAGGGCTTGGTAAACAATAGCATTATTACGTGAAAACGGACCAACTTCTCCACCGGAATACTCAAGGAGAGCCGAATATCAAATTCATAAACCAAGAAACAAGGAACTCCCCGAAGTCGGATCAACAAAGGTCACATGCCGGAACCCAGGGGGTCAATTACAGCGGCCACTCCATTACCGATCAGAGTATGAGGCAGAGAAGACCAAGCCCAAAGGTCACGCGGTCATCGATCAATCAGGACACAGGATAACAGAGCAACCAATGGAACCGCCCGGCCGAGCAACTAATCGTGATCGAAGGTCAGCCCCGGTTAGCAGCACGTTAATTAACACATACACATACAACACAAGCCAATTGGCTTGCAAGCCAATTGCCAAGCTCGGCGAACAGATCAACAGCCATCTGATCAACAACCAATAAACTCACCCGAGCTACCAATATTTCACCACATTACCAACTAGTTCGGGCGTTCCACGCTCAAAACAGCCCGTCGATGGGAGACTTTCGCCTGCCGACAAGCCTCCACACGACAACAGTTCTACTTCCTCCATGCAAGCCAACTGCCAAGCTCGGCGAACAGATCAACAGCCATCTGATCAACAACCAATAAACTCACCCGAGCTACCAATATTTCACCACATTACCACACACACAACACTAATCAACGCACAAGCGCCGACCCATCAATACGCCCCCTAACAACGCACTGATGATGTCACCTCGATTGGTGGTGAAATGTCTGCAATCAAGTGGCCAAGCTAAGCGAACAAACCAACGACCACTTTGATGACTGTTAACACTTCTAACGGTGTGGACAAGAACATGTTCATGAATCATAAATAGTATATACAAGCAACTGAGTGAGCTACATTTCTCTACTACACAATTTCCGAGAGCTTAACAACGCACGATGTCACCTCGATTGGTGGTGAAATGTCTGCAATCAAGTGGCCAAGCTAAGCGAACAAACCAACGACCACTTTGATGACTGTTAACACTTCTAACGGTGTGGACAAGAACATGTTCATGAATCATAAATAGTATATACAAGCAACTGAGTGAGCTACATTTCTCTACTACACAATTTCCGAGAGCTTCGATGAACTGCTCAAAATTCAAATACATCAATCTATTCAGAAGTGATAAATAGGACGCCTGCACTGTGGGTTGACGTAGTAACGGTGAGGGCCACTGAGATATGTAATTTACTAAGAGATGCAAACGCGACTCTGTAATTCAAACTCACTATTTGGCAGAGTCATTCAGCTGATATTCATTCGATCGCGAGAAACATTCTTGTACTCCAGAGTCAGCCCACAGACGTTTCATTGCCTCTAACAACTCTTCCGAAAACGGCTTCGTGTCTTCCATCGCCTGAATCACATCACAAACGATTCGAGCGTCTTCGGCCTAAAGCAAATAAAAGGAA